AAAAAATTGAATTTTTTTAGAATTCTAAAATATAATAACATTTTTGAAAAATTCCAGAAATTTTCCACTTTTCGGAACGTTTCTAAAACTTTGTATTTATATAACAAAGTTTGAGAAATTAAAACTTTTTTAATCAGTGGCCAAACATTTTTTGAACCTTTAAGAATTACAAAAATTTTTTAATTTTCAAAAAGGACGAGATATGAAAATGTTTTCAACATGCGAAAACTTTTAATTTCGTCTGATCAATTTTGTCTATTCGACACTTTTACTTAGAAAAAATTTGTTAGAATTCCTGCAATTCACAAAATTTTAGAAAAATAACAATTTTCTAGAAATCTAGTATTCATCATTATATTGAATTATTGTGATTTACTAAAATTTCACAAAGTTTTGAAAGTTTTGAAAATTTTTTTTTGGAATTCCAATTAAGTTATTTAAGGTGGAAAACTGCATGAAATTCTAAACTATCAAAACTCTAAAAATTTTCAATTGCGGTAATTTTTAAATTTATATACACGATATATGTTGAAAAAATTTGTGAAAATCAAAATTAATAAAACTCAAATCGCACGTTTATTAGTATACGGAATTATTTCAAAATTTCAATGTTTTGTGCGAAAACGCAATCAAAGTTTTGTAAGTTCGTACAATTGGTATACCAAGGGACAGATGGAAAGACACATATCTTCGCAATTATTTTTTTTTTTGAAGTTTAGTCATTTGTTAGGCTGAGCATATTCTCCTTATGATGCTTACTCATGTGTGATGAAAACTTCAAAAACTTGACTTTTAAATTACATCTCTTTATTGTTAAACGAGCGATATGATTCTTTAAACATTTGAAAGTCAAATATGAAAATGGGTCAAGTGACGACGCCTGTCCGTAAACCATAAACTGAAAACAATTCGCACTATTTGTCCCATACCAATGATGGAATGCTTCTTATATTGATAATTAAGATAGCCACTTACTTAACAGGTTAGGTGATCCACATTTTATGTCGACAACATTTTTTACAACTCTTGGTATTACGAAAATGATTCTGAGCAACAGCGAAGTACCGTTAGCTAACAAATACTTCGCATTTGCTACATAAACAAATAAATACTTGATAAGTTGATAGCACCTTCAAGCAAAATATCCTCAAAATCCTTTCGGAATTGTATCAGGAACAAAAGGCGTCAGAGCTTTGTATGCCTTGTATGCGATTCGGCTTACATAGATTGTAACAAGCAGGTTATTACTAAAAATATTTTTTCAATGTTATTGTGGCTTGTTATCATTTTATTTTTAATATTTTTATTGAGCTTTGTACCACGATTGTTTATTAGGAAAAATTGAAAAAGCAACAAAGTCTAAGCGGTAGAAGTTATAGCACCATTTCGGAGATCACCACATCTCCTCATCAGACTTCTTTTTCTACCGCTTAGACTTTGTTGCTTTTTCAATTTTTCCTAATAATCAATCGTGGTACAAAGCTCAATAAAAATATTAAAAATAAAATGTTAA